CTACAACAACATGTCATGAACTTCGAAGTACATGAACCCACTATTGCATCAGACCATTGCCAAATAACGACTGTGATCAGATTACCACGATTCAGTGAAAAAAACACTAACTTAAATCAGCATCTAGAAAATACTCCAGGAAAATACAAGTGGTCAAGAGAATCCAAAAATCTGTATACACTTTATCTAAAAACCAAAGAAGGACAAGATATCAATAAGTTCATACAAAAAGATCTCTCTACACTTACAACTGATGAAATCGCTAGAAATTTCCAGCAAAACAATAGAAACACTTGCAGATGACTGTTTAATTGTGAAAAAAAACAACACAGAAAATCCCAAAAGCTAAAGAAGAGAATATACTTACACACAGATAGACAGTGCAGTCTGATGAAAAAAGAACTGAGTAAACTGGCACAAACTATTCAACATAAACCATATGAAAAAGACACAAGAAATATGTACTATGCTAAGAAAAAAGCCTTCAAAAAAGATGTAAAAACCTTACAAAAACAACAGTGGATAACTTTGCAGGGCAAGATTAATAGTTTGAACACCAAGACTAATACTCAGGAATTCTGGAAATTGATTGGAAAATACACCAACAAGAACAAAACAAAGCAACTACCAGACATACCATATCACAAATGGATAAACCATTTTCAGTCCATAGGTAAAAATTCTAACATACCAATCAGCCCACAAGAAGAAATAAACAAACAGCTGACTTCTGAGGAGGAAAACAACATTCAGAATGAAACTATAAACGAAGACATCTCGGTCAAAGAAATCATGATCTGTCTTAGACATTTAAAGGTGGGAAAATCTTCAGGGATAGATAGGATACCAGCGGAGATGCTAAAATTTGGCGGTCCACTGCTAGAAACAGCACTTCAAAAGCTATATAACCACATACATGTATTACACAAAGGACAATACCCAGATACTTGGAACATAAATGCAATCACTCCAATCCATAAGAAAGATGACCCCTTAAATCCTGAGAATTATCGAGGCATTTCTACTAGCAGCACCATCGGGAAGCTATTTGCAATGATT